CTTTACATTTATAAGAAAAGCTAAGTTAGTTATGAAACAAGTTTTCATACCTTTACATTGGAAGGGTCGAATAAGCCTTCAGGAATTTTTAACCGTTCTGCACCAAAATCACAGTTGTAGCCATTGGGGAATTCATAATGAACAGTAGGCATCTGTGCAGCTACTCTGAAAATTACAATAAACAATATTATACAAAAAGCAAAAAACAATCCTCTTCAAAATTATAAACTACTAAGGAATTATCAATTTTTAAGAAATTGGAGAATATTTTAAAACATTATTCAGTATTATCTCAACATAACATTATACCTTCAGACTGATTAACCACATTTTACAATTTTCTTTAATACTAAAAATTCTTTCCTCATTTGGGAAATATACTTTTTAAATAAGAAAACTTACTGTTCATCATAAGTTGAATCTGATACTTGAAGTACTGATGCTTGAAAATCCTGGATAACACACTATGGATTTAAAAAAAAAAAAATTCAAGAAACAAAGTTAAGATTTGTCTTTATAATCTATACTTTTATATAACATTATAATTTAAAATATGCTTCTGAATGAAAGTAGACCATATTTCTGGAGGGGGTAAGTCAATTCAAGAGTATGAATCTACCAAGCAAAGACTCTTCAATCCTTAAGAAGCCAAATTACAAGTTACATTTTGGAACAATGACAACTGATTTTAAAAAAACAACCAGGAACCTTTGTACCAGAGTCCTGCATAACTAAACTAGTTTCAGAACATCAATTTTTTCCTTAAAAATAAACTTATATTTAGGAGCAAGATTTCATTATCTGAATAAAACCATATATGTTATATCTTATGTTAATTTTCAATGACTGCACATGGCATAAAATAGTTAAAAAATTTTGCTAAAAAATATACACGACCTCTGTGTTAAGGAAAATTATTGTCTAATATCTTGGCCAAATTATTAATCATCTTCACAATTTTTCCCTGTACTAAAACATACAATCTTTAGGTGCAAAAAATATATCAGGATACATCTCTCTCATACTAAATTATGACTTTCAAGTTCTTTTACTGTTAAAAATTATTATAATATGGATCTGTAGAGTGACAGATTGTTTTATTAACTCCTCTCATACAGAGACCTATATTATGTGATATTTGTTCAGAGATGAATTTTTGGTAAAGAATCTCTCATCAATTTACTGCAATGAATAATCACACATGCTTCTGACATGGCTGATTAACACTGGGAAAGAGAATGTAACTGAACCATACCAGCAGGTCTCTACAAAAAATTAAAAGCAAATTATTTCTGCCCTAAAACCAAAATTCTTTCCAGGTCTTACCATAGTAACCCAAATGATACATAATAGTTTTGTAGATATCTGGCTAATATGGTTAAGAAACTTTCCATCCAAAGCTTTATTCAGTTTGTTTTTAAAATATCATTAAAAACATAAAGCTTGAGGCTGGGGTTGTAACTCAGTGATAGAGCACTTTCCTAGCACATAAAGACACTGCGTCCATCTACAACTAAAAAAATTTTAAAAACAGCATGAAAATATAATGTGTCCATATTCTAATCAAAGATTTTAGCCTCTACATATTTCTAAAGAGAATAGGATTACTTACATTACACATGTAGTTATGCCATGACCTTGTAACCTGTGGCAACTTCTCTTTTCTTTTCCAGTTTGCTGGAGATCCTTCACGGACAGCTTCCTGATAGGAAGAGCATATGCTAAATTAACAGAGTCCATAACACAGGAGTTGGGGATAAATTTCACAAGGAAAATCCAATCATTCCTTACTTTTGATGCAATCATATATGGAGGAATCAATTCTATGTTCATTTCTTGGAAGAGTTCTCTGCACTGCATAGTAATAAAATCTCCAGCAAGAGGGGATTTCACAATGCCTGAGACAGATTTAACAAGACTAAGAGATCTGTAAGTTCAAACTCCTAGGGACAAATTTCTTCTGGGAGTGCTTACATATGAATAATTTTTTCAGGGAGAATTAACTGAACTATCCTTCAAAGCACAAATAAAGCCAGGCATCAGTTTTAAACAAATGTACTGAAAAAAATTTTTTAAAAACTTAGGTTTAAAAAACTCGGCAAGATTTAGCACTAGACCCCTGCCCACTAATTGCCTAGCATTTGTGAGACCTTGGATTTGATCCTCAGTGCACACCCATAAAAAACTCCCCAAAAAACCTCAGTGAAAGACATTACTTGAAAACTGATGCTTCATCAGTCCACTCCATTGTCTAACTTCAACATTTGTGTCCTCATAACATCCAAAATCATCTCAGCACACCCTGGTTAAATACAGTTACCTTGCTGAAGAACATAGCCATCATGGACTGGAATTGCAGTGGTATGAGTGGCTCCACTGTCCAAAATCAGACCAGTAGAACGACCATTAGCAAATCTAGTTTAAAGCATTAAGGAAAAGAAAGTAACAAGATTCCTAAACTAATATCTATTGCAAAGGGCAGGCTCTCATAAAGTTTCAGAAGCCACTTTGAAAACATGCATTATCATTTAAATTGTGTTAAAATAAATCTAGGGATGAAAATTGGTTTCAAATAATAATTCTAGTTTTAGAAACAAACTATAATAGGCAGGAATTCCAGATTGGCTCTATGAGAAACTCAAGGAATCATTTCTAGGGTCAAAATTAACAAAATCTTTGGAAGTTGATCAAAGGGGTCTTATGACAAAGTGAGATGTATTTATAATAAAATTTACAAAAATCTGGAAAGAACAGTGGAAGGCTGTGATATCTGACCTAAGGATTACAACCATTCTCACATAGCACTGGAAGAATCAAATCAGCAGTTTGGTAGCAAAGTGGTGGTACCTGTCTTCAACTCAATGAGAGAGAAGAGTTAGTCCAGGTGAACTCAACATTTTCCACAGTTCTGTGCTGCAAAATGCCTATTTAAGTGAACATCTTAAATTTATGTTTAAAAGTAGGGCCATTCTCTGGTTCACCAAATACCTACTAAGCATCTATTACATGCTTATTGAATCTTGTGCTTAGTAACATGTCAGAGGGAGGAAAGGTGACAGGAAGAAAAGAAGGCAGACAGGTCAGCTTGCCACTAACATTCCTTCAACATGAAAAAATGTGTAAAGGTGAACCAAAACTGCCTCTACTCTGAAGGATATCCTGTTAGTAGAGATGAGTTTTGCTGTAAAGAATAAAACTCAGGATGTCTTGAGGAGTAATAAGAGAAAGACCGCCTAACGCATCCCTGGGAATTCAACTGTAAGCTGGAAAGGATGCATGGGCAGGGGAAGGAGTTTGTAGAAGGACTGGCAAGAGAACATGGTGAGGTCAGGGAACTGTAATTAATTTAGCACAGCTGGAAAGCAGAATGAGAGAAGGAAATGTGGAAGATGATCCTAGGTTAAAGCAGAAAGGTTACTTCAGAAAGGTTATTAGAACTGAGATATAAAGAATGGGCAAGACAAGAGGAGGTGTTGCAATATTCCTAGAAATAGTTTACACCTAAGGCAGTGGCAGTGGGACAGAGAGAAACAAATGGATCTAAAAAACAACAGGGAAAAAGAATACATGGGTCTTCATGACAAATACATTTGAATAGTTGAAGAGGGAAAAAATACCAGCTTGAACATAAAAAATGGACGGATGAATGAATTATGGATTTTTTTTAGAAACATATACTAAAATTTTTTAGAAATATATACTAAAGTTTCTACTGATAAAATAATATAATCTGGTATTTGATTCAAAATCATAGTGGGAGACAGAACTTAGCTAACGTGTTAAAAACAGTTAAAAAGTTGGGTGATGAACACATAGGGGTGCATCATAATATTGTATCTCCTATTTGAAATTTCCTATAACTGAAAGTTACAAATAAAAGGCCCAATTCTATTTACACACTCCTTGCAAAGAATCAGTCAGATCTATATTCAATTTCAAGACTGCCATTATCAAACTGTGAACTTGAACTAGTTTGCTTACTTTATGACTTCATTTTCTGGCAGTTATTATGAAAATTAAGTAAGAAACATACAATGAATCTACTAATCTTCTCTCCTTCCTCTACTCAAAATCCCACAATAAACTTGAATTTAAAGTTCAGATTTTTAAATCCAACATGCAAGGCCTCTATATACAATTTGACTTAAAGCTATTTTTATAATTCCCTCTGAAGTTTAATATATATCTTCAATTATTAAACTAAGTCACAGTAATGAACGCTATGCTTTCCACTTCCGCACTTTTGTTCAAGTTACCTCCAAGACACAGCATTATAGACAATGGTTAGATAACATTTAACACAGTGATTCTCAAATATATAAAAAACACTTATTTAACAATTATAGCAAGCCAATAAGGTATACAGGATAAATAAGTAAAAAGCAAAGCTCAAGATCACATATTTATAAGCAGTGCAACCAGAACTCTAAATACAGGGCTCATTCCTCTATCTCATGCAACTAAATTCTATTTACAAAGGTTGTTATTATGGTCCTCCTCTGAACAGTTACAATTGAAATACAAATTCATCAGGTCCTTCTTTATGACTTAGAAACATATACTAAAATTTTTTAGAAATATATACTAAAGTTTCTACTGATAAAATGTTTTTTTGAAGTACTATTTAAATGTTGTGTAGCTTTTTTTTTTTTTTTGCTTGACAATTCCCTACTTTCATTTTAGCTAATAGGTAGTTAATACTTGTCAGCTTGTACATTTTACTATCCATTATTATGCTAAAAATCTGGTGTGTTATCTTTTATTTCTTGACATACATACACACAAAAGGATAAAAAGTATATTCACTTAGAAAAGTTGACTCCGACCAAAAATGCAAAAGAGGTTTCAAAGAACTTAGATTTCCCGGTATTCAACTCCTAACCCTAAGGTAGAAGTAATGCATTTTCCACTTAACAAGCCCACATTTCTACACAGGCTAAGTGGATGGAAGAAAACTGAATAGTCCCAAGTAAATATAGGAAGCTACAACAGAGAAACCTAAGATTTCTCAGAAACAGTGTTAAGTGGGCAACCTCTAATCCTACCTGTGGGTTTCTCAGTCTGAGTCAACCTTTACAAAGCACCTTCAAGAACTGGACTATCCAGTAACAGGTATGGCAGTAAGTCTGGTAGGATGGATACAAGAACCATGTGAATAATGATAAAAGATTTATCAAGGTCCAGATGCTGAGACATCCCCTTGTGTCCCACAGTTCAAATAAATAGTTGAACCCTAGGTAGTTTTCCACTTCTTGGCAGATGGTTGCTCAAACACATCTCGTACTCCAGCTGCCTTTTCTTTAAAGAACTTTGTGTTCTGGGCACTCTCTTGGCCCCAGGCTGAGTCGAAGAAGGTGGTATCTTGATCCACAAGGTGGGTGGGTGTATATGGTATGACCAAAACATCCAAAGTTCTTGACTTGCATGACCTTAGGAAGAATGGTTTTGTTGAAATAATCCTCCAGGGTAGGTGCACTAAAATCTCTCTTGTATACTTTCTCATCCTCATCAATGAAGAAGGCACCCTGGTGACGGTACTTCTCTGTAAAAACTTGTATTTTCCTTTAACACTTTTGTTGGTGATGACTTTGCCATTTGCCTGAAGCTCAGTCAGGTTTCACATGTGTGCAATTTCTGCTTTCTTCTTTTTATGCGCTTCTCTGTCTTTTCTGTCCTTCTTGAGCTTTCGAACTTTCCATGCCTCATACTCCTCCTCATCATTTTCACTGTCAGTACTGAGTACATCCAGTGCAGCCAGGAACACTTGTTTTCCTCCAGCTCTTTCTTGGTCTCCTCTTCTACAATCTTGAGTGTGTAATTTCGCCTCCCTTCAGCCATGGGCTTTGCTCCTTGCTCCATCTCTTTCTGTTTCAATGCTTCAGCCTCACATTTTTGAACTGTCATTTGGTCCTTCTTTCAAATAAGAATGGCGTAAAGCAAGGCTCCATCTCATCTTCATTGTATGTATAATCTTCATATTCAGACTCTGATTCTGACTCCTCCCCAGAATGTTCTTCATCTTACACCTCCATGACTTCCATCTCTTCAATTTTTTCTCTCCTGCCCTCATTGACACATCATGCCATGGTGCAGCTCTACATCCTCATCAATATTTTCCTCTTTTTCTTCACTGCTACTTCTTGTTCCATGCACCAAGCATCTCCTACTTCTGAGTCACTTTCTCCTACTACTTTAGGTATACTATTTTGGGATTTTGGGCCAATCTCTCTTCCACATCTTCACGATTCTATAAATGCCGCAGCCAGGGGTCACTAGATGAATCCTCCTCCTGTTCCTCCAGTTGTGCTTCTAGTTCTTGGGTTTTCTTAATGAACTGAAATTCTTTATCCTTCTCATCTGAAGACTCCATGGGGCATAGTCTGGCTTCTTTCCAGATACATAACGTTTTACCTTTATCTTTTCCATTGAAATCTCACCATTCTCACTTCGAACCAGTATGGCCCCAGCCTTAGACTGAATGGGCAATTGCTTCATGAGTGCGACCAACAAGTTGACTGTAGCAGTGGTGATTCCCAAATCTTTGACTTGATTCCAAACAGTGAACACTAACAACCCTTATTTAGCTTTTAACAAGAATATTTGCATTACAAATTCTTTGAGTTAGGACATATTTTCCTGTGTGCTCTCCTTCATGTCTTACAATAAATATCTGATAAATGAGTAAATATTAAATGAATTTACAGTCAATTTCTCATTATCTGATACTAAAGGAAAGGGAGAAAATGGCAATACTCAAACTCAATTTAAGCCAGCTAGTTAAAACACTCCTCTTTATTCACATTCCCCTTCCTAGACACAAACACACAATACACATACACACACCCATTAACAAGCAGGATTTAAGGGTTACTCTCCTATTTTCCTCTCAGATCGTCTGGTATTCCATCAATTCTGATAACAAATACTACAAGAATGGATAGCTTTTAAAAAGCAAGAGAACAAGAAAAAAAAAAAAAACTTTTGAACAAGCAAGAATTTTCTCATATCTTCTGATGTTATTTAGTAACATCACATATATTTTAGAGAAAAGATGAGTATTATTTTTTTAAGGATACGCTGTCAAAACTGCAGTTTTGCAAAGGAAGAATGCAGGGATGTTGTAGTGTTCAAACATTAGTTCTGTCAGTTTCTCTCTCTTTGCTCTAGTATTCCACTTGAAAAAAAAAATCCAAGTTATTTATTGTTTAAGAATTAAAATATTGCTGTATCTCAAGCTATAAAATAGTACTATATATTTTTTAAATAGCCCTATATTAACAAAGATGTGAAACATTAAAAACAATAAAACAGTATATATAAGGAAACTTGCATAATTTCTCCTTGCAATATTTATTCATTTGTAAATATATTAAGTTCAATAAATACAACAGATGTTAAAATTTATTATTTAATAGGTAAAAGTGTCAATTGTTATAAATTCTAGAAATTATACTTATTCAAAATATGAATTTTAAACCATAAAATTCTCCCACTTAAGCTTGGTCTCGTAAAATAAACCAGAAGTCAGAAACAATAATGATGTTGAAAATCTATAATCATTATGTGCACCCCTGGGACATTTTGTCTGTGTATCAAATGTATTCATGACAGACTTCAGTCTAGAAATTTCTAGCCTTCATTCATCATTGGACCTCTCTCTTAGAAATTTAAATATAAAAGTAGATATACAGTGTCCTAGGGATAAAAGGGATGATTCACAAATCAAAATGGGATGGGAAATCAAA